TGGCCCCACCCCAAATCCCCCACCACCAGCCAGAGCCCTCACCCCCCCTGCACCCCAACCCTCTGCCCCAGCCCTAAGCCTCTCATCCCCAGCCCCACCCCAAAGTCTGCACCCCCAGCCGGAGCCCTCTCCCTCCACCCTCGCACTCTAACCTTTTGCCCCAGCTCTGAGCCCTTTCCCACACTCCAAACCTCTCAGCCCCATCCCCGCCACATGAATTTTGTTATGTGCACCAATAGCATCACCTCCTTATTGGTGCACATAACAAAATTCATTCTGCACATGCATGGGAAAAATTAGAGGGAACCCTGTTCATACCCACCAGAGTATTTGAAAGGTGTGTTTCCCCTCATTTTACAATCACTTTTCCTCACTGTTGGTTTTAGTAACTCTTCTTTGCAGTGTTGTTGTAGGCATGTTGGTCCAAGGATATTAGAGAGATAAGGTGGGTGAGGTAATATCTTTTATTGAACTTGTATATCTTTTTATTGGACTTCATTTATATCTTTTATTGGACTTCTGTTGCTGAAAGTAGCAAGTTTTCAAGCTACATAGAGCTCTTAACGCTTGTAAGCTTAAAACTTAAAAATCACTTGCTCCATTGTTTCATTGCCTGTGCTGTTAATTTGTTGCTGTGAGACTGCATTAGGAGTGAGGCTGGACTTCTAGCACTGTGTTTCTCTTATCATTTTGCTTTGGAAGAAAGAAACTCAAAGATTTACATGGAGTTTGAAAACCTGTACAAAAAAAAGCAGATGAAATGTTGGGCCAGCCTGTCAGTACTGACTGTGTCCCCTTTGGATTTGAATTTTCACCGAGGATTCTTTATAGATAAAATGTCCATTTTATATATTTTTCTGGAAATTCAGTAGAAAAGTAAACAGGAAACTATATTTTAATTATTCTGCCGAATGTCTCTATCAGGGTAACTGATCCCAGATTCTTTCCCTTTAATAAAACTCCTCTTTTCAAATATATTTAGAAACAGTTACTTCTGTGCGCAGCAGAAAATAGCCAGCATGGCTGCTGCTCCATGGGTGCATCACAGGGCTCCTGAGCTCCATAGTGAATGCAGGTTTTTCCTGTTGTAAGGGGAAATAATGTCCTTTCTGGGATCCACTGTCATCCTCTTCTCAGGAGAGGAAGCGGCCGCCATTCCACTTGGATCAACATAGTGAGTCCCCTGAAGCCCTAATTTGAGACAGGTTTACTCCTGGCTCGTGAGTGTCAGCCACCTGCTGGTTATTTTAAAGGAGGTGCAACCCAAAGTGAATAGGGGATTAGCCAAGGAGATGTAGAGAGGTGCCAGACAGCCGAAAGGTTAATATTTCCCTCCATCTAAGAACAAACATGTGTGATATTCCCTAATAAACCATGAAGTGACTGCATTTCAATGGAGGTATTTGTATATATATATATGTAACACAGACAGACCACAATTGTCTGTGGGCAGGATTGAACCTGGGACCTCTGGAACTAAATGCATGAGCCTCTACTGCAGTGGTTCCCAAACTTGTTCCGCCGCTTGTGCAGGGAAAGCCCCTGGCGGGCCGGGCCGGTTTGTGTACCTGCCGCGTCCGCAGGTTCGGCCGATCGCGGCTCCCATTGGCCGCGGTTCGCTGCTCCAGGCCAATGGGAGCTGCTGGAAGCGGCGGCTCGGCCCACGCTGCTTCCAGCAGCTCC